GTAGCTCAATAATCTACAGCAAGGTTTGGCAAACTATAGCCTGTGGGCCAGATCCATCCTGCAGACTGTTTTGAACAAGAGAAGAATGGTTTATATATTTTTAAAGCATTGTATTAAGAAAGTAAAGAAAAGAAAAACAACGTGATAGAGATGTTTTGTGGCTCACGAAGCCCAAATATTTACTATCTGGCCCTTTACAGAAAAAGTTTGCTGACCTCTAGTGTAGAAAAACAAGCAGAATTTAGCAAGATAAAAATAGATGCATTGAAAATCCTGGACTTTACTCCATGACAACAAACAATTCTCAGCACAAATGCAGATTTCTGTGAGATGGGACTTAGCAAATTAAGTTCAGATTGAGTTAATTGTGAGATGTGATTGTTAGAAGCTATATGGTTTAAAACAATATCATTTATCGAAATAGAAAATTCAGAAAAATAGACACGGTAGTCCCCATTTTTTTCTTCAATGGTCAGATTACACCTGGACTGTTTGTGTTAGAGGGGTGACAACAAACTGGAGTATTTCCAGAGAACCTGGCACAATTCATTGACGGAGGAGGAGACAGAAGGAAGATATTACAGTGGTCTTCACATGTCTTCACAACTGTCCATAAAAAAAAGAGAAGAGACACTGTATAGACAATTGTAGAACAGAGAATAGACATTGTATAGACAATTCTAGGATGGGCAGAATTTTTTCCTTTTAATTTCTAAGGCAGTATTTTGCTAACACAGACATTATTCTCAGAATTCTGAAATGGACACAATTTCACAATTTATAAAGTTTTCACTTCAGACGCACATTCAATTGGCTTAATATGACCCTGTTTACAATTTGCCCTCCAAAAATTGGAGCAGTCTGAGACAGAAGTGTTTTCTGTTGTGGCAGCCGTTACTAATGCTTACTGATACATTTTGATCCTCCTCTTTTAGGCAGGTGGGACGATTATATTTCCCTTCCCCTTTGAACTTAAGTGTAGTCGTGCAACCTGCTTTGGCCCTTGAAATGTGAGCAGAAGTATTGTATATAATTTTCAGGCAGAAGCGTTTAAAACCCAACGTGTGGAGCACTGGGTGTTATACGCAAACAGTGAATCATGGAACACTACATCAAAAACTAATGATGTAATGTATTGGTGATTAACATAACATAATAAAATAAAATTTTTAAAAAAACCCAATGTGTGATTTTCACTACTTTTCTCTTGTGTGGTGGCCACTGCGGGAGCATGTATTGAGTTGAAAATGCCATCAGATCACAGCACCTGGGAATACTTAGGCACTACAAGGAGGACAGTTGCAGGGTTCTTTGCATGATCAAGAAGTAAAGTTTTGTCGTAAGCCAGTGTAAATTTTGAAGTTGTTATGGTATCATAACCTAGTTTGTTCTGGCTTTTCCCTCACCTAGTATTTAATGGCTAATATCCCCGGGCCAAGAGAAGTCGGGTGATACAGCTTGCATCCTTCGCTCTGACATTAACTAGGACCTAGAAAGATCAGTTTTCTCTGTTAAAAAAAAGAAAGATCATTTGAATGAAAAATACGAACTGTCTCTTCTAGACAAAAACTCCGATTTTAAAGTCTGTTTTAATATTTGTTGTAGTCAAGGAAAACAATGTCTTTTATAACTATCCTAAAGTATATGGTTAAAAACCCGCATTGCCATTTTTTTTTAATTCCACATAATAAATTACTGTGTACATTAGGACTACTATTATTTATTTGGAGCAAAACATTTTCTCGTATAAAATATGCATTGTTTTAGAGCCTTAATAGTCTGCTAACAGAGTATAATCTAAGTTATCAAACACTTATTAAATCACTGTACTTATTAATTACTTTGAAATCATTTCTACATTTTATCTTCATAACAGACTGAAGTAAGGAGAAAAGATTTTTTGGTCCTAGATAGATCCTTTTGCTTTGCTATGTAAAGGATATGGCTTTTATCCCAGAAATTGAACTATTATCATGAAGATGCCAGAAGTTTACACTTTTTTTTCCTTCTTACCAACAGATTTATAGCTTATCTTTACAATTAGAACTTTATTTTTGTTTCCAAGTTTAGTTACTCTATAATTATTTGGGTTGAAATATAGTCATTAGATGTATAAATTCCTTAAAACACTCAATATTTGAGTTGATTTGGCATGCATCCAGTTTTCTTAGGTTTAGCCTTCCTTTTAAAGTCCTACTGCCTTTAATAGAAGCTCAAATTCTTTTTGAAAATCTGATGAAATCATCTCTTAAGTATGTGTAGGACGTGATCCATACAGTTTCCAGTACTGCTTGAAATTGGCTCTTTGAATAACCAATCTGTTTCTAGTTCACATTTTATAGATGAGTCAACAATTGAACATCAATATATTTTGCTCTTTTTAAAAGTTTGTTCTGAAATAGGGTGTACTTAATAGGTACCAAATCAGTACTTACCGAACAAAAGAGTTTAATATAGTTGTTAGTCCAGCTACGTTGTGAAGCTAGGAATCAAGCTTCTGAATGTCTTGAGTTCACCTCAGAAGCTCTACTTAGCCTTCAAACACCAAGAATAACTATTTTCCATATCGTAAAAGATTTTAAATTCACAAGTCACATTCAATTTCCATTCCCTTTAAAACAATTAAATCATATAGCAGATTACTATTGAGTTTTAACCTTACCTTTTCTATCTTCCTAAAATTAGTAAAATACATTTAAACATGTCCTTATTATAAAAATACAAATTCCATTTCTCACAAGCTATGTCTTCTGGTCCTGATCTGGCTTTGTCACTAGCTGTATGACCTTGTATAAATTATTAACCTTCTCAGAGTATTCATTACCTTATTTCTAAAATTAGAGTCTTCTAGTGGATGCATTTCTAGTTTTCTTTTTAACTTTGTGGTAATTTCTCTTTGTGCATTTTTTATGTCCTTCTTTAGTCTAGGTCTTTTCTTTGTTTTCAGAAGCATTTATAATGGCTCACCCCCTAGAGTACATTTTCATGGCCTCTTTGTCCTTCCTTAATTATAACATGATATATATACACTGGTCAGGGTAGGCTAGATTATGCTGTAGAAACAACTTCTCTGACCTCAGTGGATTAAAGCAACAAAGTTTATTTCATGTTCATACTGCCTGTCTGCAGTATGTATGTATATATGTGGTCTGGAAACTTTGCTCTGTGTTGTCTTCCTTCCAGAACCAAGGCCTACAAAGTACCCACAATGTGGAGCTTTGCAGGTTCTATAGCAGAGGTGAGAGAGACAACAGCTATCCCATACATTGTCTTTGAAAGCTTCCTCCTGAATAAACTTCCTCCAGAAATAAACACATGTCACTTTTGTTCATCTGACATTGGTCAAAGAAAGTCACATGACAGCACCTAACTGATAAGGGGCAAGAATTTCTGTCTTACAATATGTCCTGGATGTGGGAAGACACAGGACTATCTATCATGTTTTAAATCAAATGCTGACTTCTGGTAGGGATGGAAATCAGTACCACACTTATGGAGGGCAATTTGTAAACATATCAAAAGTCCTAGAAATGTGTCTTCCATTTGATTTAGTGGTTCCAGTTTTAGGAAATTGTTGAACAGATATATGAAGATGTATATTTAATAATCAGTTCTTCAAATATATATTTATTGACTACCTGTGATGTGCCAGGAGCTGACATGGTCCATACCTTCGAAGACCTATTGGGGTAGGAGAGGGGAGAGAGAGTAGCAGAGATTAAAATGGAACAGGTTAAGTGCTATAGTGGGGAGTATAGGGTGCTATGAAATCATATGGGAAAATTTCTTCTGACCTGTTTTTCCATTGCCTGATTCTCTCTTCAGCTGTGTACAGTATGCTCTTCAGCTCCCCTCCACTGGATTTTTCATTTCAGTTTGTATAATTTTTCATTTCTGTAAGAGTTCTCCTTCAAATGTGCTAAATTACTTTTTATGATTTCCTATCTCTGAAGATATATTCAAGCTCCTCTTTTAGGAAGGAATTGTTTTTTTCAAATTGTGACATCATTTTGAATACCTACAAATATTTTGATACTAAAATTTTAAATTACATGTTTATAATTTACTCAAATTTGACAATCTTTAGGGGAAAAAACATGATCCACACTGTGTATACAGATTGTAACTTGAAAAAATGTGTTTATTGGGCACCTGGGTGGCTCAGTTGGTTAGGCAACTGCCTTCAGCTCAGGTCATAGTCCTGGAGTCCTGGGATCGAGTCCCACATCAGGCTCCCGGCTCAGCAGAGAGGCTGCTTCTCCCTCTGACCCTCTCCCCTCTCATGCTGTTTTTTTTTCTCTCTCTCTCTCTCAAATAAATAAATAAAATCTTAAAAGAAAAGAAAAAATGTGTTTATAGTTAATACTGTAAGGTGATACAGAAATGGTAAGATGTGAGTTGGTATGTTGGAATTATGGCTGGTTTTTAAAATTTTTTCTAAACTATAATGTTATGGTTTTTAGAATTTAAGAAATTAGACTGACCAAATCAACTTAAAAATAATGTAAAAGTAATATTAATGGTGAATAATTTATTAATATCAATGGAGAGTTTTAAAAGGCTTTCATACTTGTTTTAGTATTTAAAAAGCTCTGATTTACATCCATAGGTCAAATAAAAGTTGTGAGAAGTATAATTCTTGTCATTTTTATCATTATAGTAGAAAGTTTTTAAGTCTTTATATGTGAAACTGTAGTACATGGCATACAAAGAAAAACTATGTAAACCTGCTTCCCTCTTGCTTCTTGCTCTTCTCATTCTGTTTTCTCTCTTGTATTAGCTGGGTTCATCTCACATCAAGAGTTGGGAGTAAAGTTAAGAACACATAGTTCTTTAGAAGTGGGAAGAAAAAAGAATAAAGAGGAAAAGACTAACTTTCTATGAAGGCATACTAGCAACTAGTATGCTTCTCACAAAGAAAACCAGACTTGTAGAACCAAAGAAATCGCATAGAAGAAGTTAAATACTTAATAATACTTGTAAACGTTTTTTGCTTTTAGGAAGAAGAAAGGCGTATGGCATCTGTTGTAGCCAAAAAGGAGGAAGAGAAGAAACGGGAAAGTCATAAACAGTCCTTGCTTAAGGTACTTTCCCTAATGTCTGCATGAATGTGTGTGCGCACACTCCCACTGCACTGAAACTCGCTAGCTAGTCAGCTGGAAAAGCAGTTTCCCAACTTTGTAAAATTTTCATTCCTGTTGGTAGAATTTTTTTTATAAATAAATACCCTTATAATTTTTATAAGTTACCTATAAATAAGCCTGTACTTGTGAAATACAATAATATACATTATAAAACACATGCGAAAGCTACAGATTTTAAAAGGAAGGGATAAAAAATAAATAGAACACAAGTTACATTTTTTTTTTCCACACCAGTGCATCACCTTGTGGATCCTTATGCCATGTGCACTTCATTTTGGAAACCACTGTAATTGACCATCATCTTTACTGAGATATTTTAATGAGCTCTGATGCATGGGTTTCTTTTTTAATAATTGCTTTTTAAATTTAAAAACTATCTCTCTTAGCTTCTCTTATATAGAGGTGGTAAAGATTTTGAGGATTTAGGAATTAAAATTTGTTTTAAGCTAGTTTTAAACGATTTAGCATATCATTGTTATTTTCCTTAAATAAAATATTTTCTTTTAAAATATTTTATATTCACATCATGACTCTAATAAAGACAGCTTAAAGTTTATAGCTTGTATTATGCTCATATTATGTTCTAAAACTAAGGATACCATGCTGATTGTCATGTAGGTGCTGTTCTTTTTAAAATGAAAATATCATGTAGAATTCAAAAGATGAGTAGGGATACAAAGTTGTACAAAATAAACCTAGGAAACAAGGGAACTTGTTGGTGCAGTGGAAATGTATATCTTGATAGGGGTATGGGTTACAAAGGTGTATGCATTCCTCAAAACTGATGAAAGACTGCTTGAATCTGTGTGTTTTACTCTATGAAAACTACTCCTAAGTTAACAAAACAGAGAAAGAACTTGATCCCAAGCCCTCTCAGCTCAGGACTACCACTTCAAAGGTATTTAGAACTCTTAACCTGTTATGATACAATTTTCTCATTTGCTGTTATTTCTAACCTCCTGACTCCTCCCCAACTTTATCTGTTTTCCCTCATCCCATTAATTAGATGTACCTAAGCCCCTTCTTGATAACTCTGTTTTTTTATTGACTTAGCAAATAGAATTTTTAGTCTTTCCTCTGTTGGAATATTTCTAAGGGTTGGTCAAAAACACACTTTGGTTTAGAGGAAATACAGTTGTAGGCAAAATTTTTTAAATGTGTAGGCAGGAGCAAGATTTACCATTGCCAGATGATACCATTGGTAAACTTCTGAATGGTTCATTTGGAAAAAGTAGTAGAGTTGATTCTCGAAAAATATGAGTTTGAACTATGCAGCTGCACTTGTTACGTGGATTTTTTTCAGTAAATACAGTACAGTACTGTAAATGTATTTTATCTTCCTTATGATTTTCTTAATATTTTCTCTAGCTTTATTATATGAATACAGTATATAATTCATCTAACATACTAAATATGTGTTAATCAACTGTTTATGTTATTGGTAAAGCTTTCAGTCAATGGTAGGCTATCAGTAGTTAAGTTTTTGAGGAGTCCAAAGTTTTATACAGATTTGCAGCACCCTTGACCCAACCCCCATGTTGTTCAAGGGTCCACGTACATTTCCTCTTGTACAGCTGCTGTACGTAAGTGAATGAATGAATAAATGAATAAAAAAATAAGTAAATAAATAGACTAAAGCTCTCAGACCAAAAGAATACTTTTGTGTGAGTTCTAGAGCATGGAAAGGAAGAATAAACAAAGAAACTCCATTGGTGATTTAGCTTTAAAGCTACCAGTTGAGCCTGGTATAGGCAACAGATTGCTTTTCACTCCACCTTTGCACTGAAATTTTTTTTCTTATATACCCAATTCAGATGCTTTTCACTATCAGCATTTTTGGAAATATGCCATTAAACATTTAGCCAACATGGTTTTTACATGTTTGGAAAATTTTTATGAAAACTTCAAAAAATAGTGAATGCTTCTCTTGAAGTCACTAAATAGGACTCTTTCATTATGAGGGTTATTTAGCTTTAAATTTTTTTAATTAGAGGAGAAGCATGGGAAATCAAGAGACCTGGATTCTAGCCCTAGCCCAGATTTGAGATCATGATACCAAAGACCCTCAGCATTTGCTGGCTTTCGTTTCATTCGACAACACATACTGATCATTAAGAAAAGTGGGTGGGTAGTTATGAAGGGACTGCAAGAGTGCATTGACACATATCTTCTGTTGCTTTTCTATCTTTATGTTTTCCTTGCAACCTTGGAAATGAATGGAAGTGATAGTTACAGGCTATACCGGTACGGTATTGCTTGGACTATGAAGAGTAGACTCAAGTGGCAAAAGCTGCAAATTTGGAATCTTCTAAAATAATTATAACCTTAACACCGACTTGGCAATGTATTGTTATGTAGCTTTAGAAACGTGACTGTAACTGCTACGCCAAATGCATCCATGATCTTTGAGCAGATTTCCTTTGGATACTCTCCTTCTGCCTTGCAGAATCTCTAGCCTTTCTCTGGCTTCTTTTTTTTTCCTGCACCATAGATACCTAGAGCCCTTATGTGGCCCCCTGGCCAGCCAGTGACCAAGCCCCACCTGACCCCAGGCTGCACTCCTATTTTAAAATATGTCTTCCCTCTTCCTGGCCCCAGTAAAAATATCCATTCTTTTAGTCAACCTGATGTTGATCTAATTTCAATAACCCAAATAAAGGAAGCTTAACTTTGGGGTGGGTATAGGAAAGTGTTTGTATTTTCAGAGTATCTTATAAATTTGCTAACATGCTCAGTGGTATAAAGATATTGTGTATCTTTTTTCTAAACACCGCTATATCTACCTCATTAAGAATATTTCTTTCTGCCAACTCCCAGTGAGCCAGAAAACCAAAGGCCCGGAGCCAGCATGACAGCCATCTGCTGTGAACTCACTGCCTCTTTCAAAGTGGCCTGGTACTGAGCAAAAATGACACTACTTAGGTTAAGAATTGGGTTATACCAGTTATCTATGAATAACTAAAATAGAATTCCTTAAGGTAAGATGCCTTTTAGTGTAGATTTGGGAAAAAAATTTTTTTACACTAGAATAGCAGATTCCTACTTGCTTTAGATAAGGAAGACCTAAAACGTCCAAAAATCTCAGAAGTAAATGCATATTAAGTATAACCCATTTAACAGTATAGACAAATTTGAAATACCAAGCAATAGAAAAAGAACCCATGCTAAAAACATGTTTAAACACAGAAACAGAACTTTTAGAAAGTTTAATTAAGCTTTGTCATCACTTTTCATTCCTACCCAATGCCATTTTTCGATGCTAAAATTTTCGATATCCAAATATAGGCAGAGAGATGGAACTAAAAGTTCATTATTCTGCATGTGTATTTGCACTAAGGAAATGGGCGAAGAATTTTCCTAACCCTGACTCCAGAGGCAGCAGGTGAGGAGGGATCAGTGTCACACGTCTGATCTGTCCTTGGATGAGTGCTCTCAGTAAAGAGGAAGGGGAAGATGTCTGCTTTCAGCACTCTGACCGTATTGACATGCCATTTAAAGATGTTAACTTTCGATCATGGACACTTTACCAGAATATTGATTATTTACCTTATCAATTTATATAAGCTGAGTAGAAACATTTCAACCTTGCACATTTTCTTTCAGTAGTGTAAATCTGCATTTCTCAGCAGATTTCTGTGAGAGCATGGAGCCCCAATCCGCGAATCCGCGGTTCTAACAGTGAGGTCCTTGGGGCAGTAGCCTTAAGGACAGCGGGGAGCTTTTAGAAATGCAAATTCTCAAGCTCCGCCTCAAACACACTAAATCAGGATGGGGTGAGAACCAGCAATTGGTGTTTTAGTAAGTTCTCCCGGTGATTTGAGGCACCCTAAAGAAAAACCACTATCCTAAGGCATCCATTGCATATAATGAATTAGCTAACTTCTTTCCTATTTATCTGGGATGGTACTAGTTGCCTAGAAATATTTCAACCTAGTACAATTTCTTTTCGTAGTCATTCTGTAACGAGTAGTTTTCAGACATTGTAATTCATTCTGTGAAGCTCGGAACATCAATCAATCCCTCTTCTTCTCCCCACCTTTCAACCAAGATTGTTCCATCATACTGGCCTGAATTATTGGGTAGGAAAATTAAGATATTATTAGTTTCCTTCTTGCTGTGTTTAAATACCAAGGCATATAAATGTCTTTCAAATTAAAATCTTAGATAACAAGTATAAAGATTTCTGTCAAATTAAACTTTCAGAGAGTGAATGTTCATATCTTCAATGGGAGTAATTATTATTTGTGTATAATTTTTTGATAGACCACTGTTGAGATGTTTGAATGCACAGGGTAAATAAAGGCCACTTGTACTTTGAAGGTACCTATTTATAGCTACTTTTAAGGAATAGACTCCTTTTAAAAGTATGATAAGTAGTATAAACAATGTGCTTCGGGGATACTCTCCTGCTATAAAAGTTGCATTATATAATTCTTTTTCATAGGAGAAGAAAAGGTTAACAATTAACAACGTAGCTCGAAAGTGGGACTTGCAACAGCATCGAATACCCAATATTGCTCCAAATCAAGATAGAAAAGTTTCTGACTCTTCTCAAGACCCTTCTCAGCTCCACGGAAGCACTGTCTCTGCATTTCCAGAGGAAACAGGGTATGCAGTGGTATTCTTTCTAGGTACCAGTGTCTTTGGAGAACTGAATTTGGAGCAGAAATGGCAAACCATTTCACATACAATTGTTTAAAAATAGTTTTCTTAAGAAAACCTACTGAGATTAGAAGTTTAAATTTAAAAGTGAAGATGGAAAAACTAAAAGTATAAATTGACCCCTAATGAAAACACCCTTAGTGGTTTCCTATTTTTCATAGGGAAAAAAAAAATCTCGATTACCCAGTGTAGCCTAGGAGGCCCTCTACCCCCCTCACCTCTTTCATCCCATCCCATCAGCCCCTGTTGCGACGCTGCGTCGTTGGCTTGCAGTTCAGTTACTTCCTAGCTCGTAGCCTTTCTCCTACAAACAGTTGTACTGTCCCCTGCCACTTCTTCCCTCCCCCTGACCTAGCTAATGCCAGCCCGAAGGTCTTAAAGTTAAACCTCCCCTCCCTTGAAAAGCCTTCCCTAACTACATCCTGGAGACTCAGCGAGATCAGATACCCCTTACCTCTCAGTACTCTGTACTTCCCTTTATCGGCACTCACCATAACCATAATTAAATAACGAGTGGGGGGCGCCTGGGTGGCTCGGTCGTTAAGCGTCTGCCTTCGGCTCGGGTCATGATTCCAGGGTCCTGGGATCGAGTCCCACGTCGGGCTCCTTGCTCAGCGGGAAGCCTGCTTCTCCCTCTCCCACTCCCCCTGCTTGTGTTCCTGCTGTCGCTTTGTTTCTCTCTGTCAAATAAATAAATAAAATCTTTAAAATAAATAAATAAATAAATAAATAACGAGTGGGTAATTAGTTGTTTCATATCTGTCTTCTCCACTAGAGTGTAAGCTTGAAGAGGAAAAGAATCCGGATTCTGATTCTTGATTGTCTTGACCTCTTTCATGTCCCCAGCAGCTAGCATGAAACCTTACTCCTAACTAGTAGTAATTAAGCATAAAATCTGAATAATTACTCCAGTTGTGTTCTCTAATATCTATCTATTCCAGTGGCTCACAGCCTCTTTTCTTCTATAATATATGTGTCACATAAAATATAGCCCTGGTTTATGCGCAAATCTGAGTACACTATGTAGATTTTACATATTTCTCTTCCTCTTAAGAGAGCCTATTGGAATCAAGTAAATGAGAGAGATATAAAGCATATATATCTTTATAGTTTATTATAATTTTAAAAACATATAATTTATATGTTTATATAATTTAAAACAAAGCTTAAAAATCAAAGATAAGATGCATTTCAGTTTTGTTTCATTTGATGAAGTACCATTATCTAATGACCTTAACCAAATTCTGAAGCACATACTAAATATAATGTAGATTTTCTTTCAAGTTTTTAGGTCATATTCTTTAAACTTTTCATATACAAAGAATGTCATGAAGAAAATAACAAGAGGCATTAGACTTATATTTTGGAAGTTTTCTTGGAGTTAAAGAGTGTGACATATATTTAGACAAATATACTTCAAAAATTTTCGTTACAGGATTATTTCAGATTGATCAGTGTACTTCCTTCAGCTCACTTGGGTATCATATCCATATGTTGAACTTCTCAGCTCTTTGAGCTAGCAAAATAAAGCAAAAAGAACAAATTTTAATTAAGTGATGATTTGTATAACAAATACCATTCTTATATTGCCATAGAGCTTTATTTAATATCATTTTACTTGATCAGAACTATAACACTTTATAAAGTTAAAACTTTATAGCTCTGAGCTTTAGATTTATGAAATGCTACACAAGTCAGTTTCTGATTGCTGTTTTCTAAGAACATTTTTTCCTATCTTCCTTAAGAAGTTTTCTTAGACCCAAGTTTATCCAAATAATCTTATACATTATATTCTAAAATTTTAATAAGGTTTTAAAAGTTAGTCCTTTCTACATCAACTTTACTTTTATACATAGTGTTAGGTAAGAGTCTAACTTGATTCTTATTTCAGTTGGTCAATTTGATAATAGCATTTCTTAATTAAAGTATTCTCTTTTTTAATGAGAATGCCGTTTTCATCTTATATTAAGTTCCTGTAAATATTTGGATAGATTTCTAGACTTTTTTTTTTTAAGATTTATTTATTTGAGAGACAGAGAGCATGAGTGGGAGGGGCAAAGGTAGAGGGAGAATCTCAAGCAGACTTCACGCTAAGCACAGAGCTGGATGCAGGGCTCAATTTCAGGACCCTGAGATCATGACCCGGGGCTGAAATCAAGAGCTGGACACTTAACTGACTGAGCCACCCAGGCGCCCTGACTTCTGGACTTTCTATTCCATTTCACTAATCTATTTATCTGTTTTAATGCCAATACCAAAGCTGCTTGATTACAGTAGTTTCATAGTATTAATATCTATGTAGGGGAAATCTGCTTTCACTATTCAGAGTTTTAATTCTCACACGCTTGTTCTTCCATATGAACCTTAAAATCATTTAATCTACTGCTACAACATTGTACGTTAATTATACTTCAGTGAAAAACTAATCTAAATGGAAATGTTAATAATTATATTCAAATGTCGTTTAAGTTATTCATTTCAGAAGTATTGACATTCTTAAGATAATAAATCATCACTTTAAAAATCATGGTATAGGGGCGCCTGGGTGGCTCAGTTGGTTGGGCGACTGCCTTCGGCTCAGGTCATGATCCTGGAGTCCCTGGATCGAGTCCCGCATCGGGCTCCCTGCTCGGCGGGGAGTCTGCTTCTCCCTCTGACCCTCCCCCCTCTCATGTGCTCTCTCTCTCTCTCTCTCTCTCATTCTCTGTGTCTCAAATAAATAAATAAAATCTTTAAAAAAAATAAAAAAATAAAAATCATGGTATAGCTCCATATTTTCAGGTCTTGTTTGGTATCCAGGGGGAGATAATTAGGGAAGTGTTGAGAGATTGAAGGAAAATTCTGAGGCACTAAATGAGGTTAGAGACCATTGAAATTGTAGCTGCTATAGTCTGAATTGTTGAGCGAGTACTCCAGGAGCACAGAATAAGTAGGAATCAGAGTAGAGAAGCTGTATGTCTGATAAAGAGCAAGGAGACAAAGGGTCAAAGATAAAGAATAAAAAATTCAACTATAATGATAAAAGAAAGAAATGATGGGCCATATGGTCTAGGCTAGATTTTTAAAGTATTAAAAAATAGAAGGTTGCCAACAGATTAGGAGAAAATTTAGAATTTCTAAGACTGGAAGTCTAAATGAAGTTGAAGATGAGAAGCATATGAAGGAGTGAGTTGAAATAGTGGGAATTTATGGTCAGAGTTAAGTTTTTGAAGTTGAAGATTTAATTTAATTTAATTTTTTTTTATTTATTTATTTTAAAGATTTTATTTATTTGACAGAGAGAGGCACAGTGAGAGAGGGAACACAAGCCGGGGGAGCGGGAGAGGGAGGAGCAGGCTCCCCGCCAAGCAGGGAGCCCGATGCGGGGCTCGATCCCAGGGCCCTGGGACCATGACCTGAGCCGAAGGCAGCCGCTTAACGACTAAGCCACCCAGGCGCCCCTGCAATTGAGGATTTTAAAGGTGAAACATACCTAAGAGCAATTTGGAGGCCATTATTGTGGCCATGGGAGTGGGTTGTTAGAGAAGAGTAGAAGTAAGAGTTATCGGAGAGAGATCACTTGAAGCTATTATTGTAGATATTGAAGTTAGTGATGGTAGAGCTAGGTGTGGAACTGGGGACCAATTCAACAGTGCTCAGCCTTATCTCCTTCCAGTCTAAGTCACGTATCCTATACTCCTGTTACAGGGCCATTCACTATTCACGTTTTACTGGGGTTGGCAGCTACAGTGAGTGCAGAAGTGGCTTTATTAATTGGCTTTTTTACCTGGGAAAATGATCTCTGATAAGTATGGATTGCAAACTGTTAATATGATCTTCCCAGCACTTTGGACTTTTCAGGCAGCTCATGGCCAAAAGTTCTGTGACCCTCTAAAATAATTTAAACTTATGGAGTCTTCACTTTTATGGTCTCAAAAACAAGCATTCAGTTCCAAGAGAAAGAGGAAGTATCTGTTAGTGAAAATTGTTATGCCTTGTAGTTACTGCCAAGAGTTTCAGAATTTTTATTAGAAGTTCCACAAAGTCAAAGGCCTTTTAAGCAAGAAGCACAAAGGAAGACTTTGGGAGAGATGGGAAAAGTGATGTATGTGTTCAGTGGAGAGGATGTGGAGAACAGTAATGAATCATTGGAAAGGGATCCACAATTTCTGGCAAAAGATTTGTTTTTTACTGATGTAAGTTCGAAGTGCCATGGAGACATCATTACATTATCTTGGTCTGACCCTTTTAATGACTTAAAAACTGTGAAGTCAAGGAGACAAAGATGATATTTGAAGTCAGAAAAGTAAAACTCTAAAGATAGTGAATTATTGGTAAAACTTAACGCAAAATTACTTACAACTTCTAGTGGTAATAGATAATTTCTTCAATTTAGTTTGTGGTTGTCTGATTCATGTAAAATCTCTTACATCAGAAAGATAGAAATATTTCTAAAAGAGCTGATTATACCTTGTACATGTATACACCAGGGACTCTTAGTGGAGCATCCAGATTGACTTCTTGAACTTGGAAATCCTTATTTTATACTTGAACTCTCCACACCATTTGACATAGTTGATACTGTTCATCTTGAAAAGCTCTTTGCATTGATTTTTCTGATAGCACATTCACCTGATTTTCCTTTTACTTATGTGGTTGATGTTTGTGTTTTTTTTTTTTTTTGATAATATCTTGCTAACTCCTTTTTGACCAGATCTCTACCTGTATATTGTGCTTTCTCAACTTATAAGATTTAGATAGACTTTTTGCTATAATAGATGAGGATTCACTCACTTGTTATACCCCCAACACTATATACCTAGAGTTCTTTTATTGATAACTTTGGTAATTTACTATAATTAAATCTCTATTTCTTTTTCCATCTGCTATAAATATTAGCCCTCAAATTTTCATTATGCAAGATGTGTCTACCCTTTACTTCTCCCACTTTTTTGCTTTGCAGCTTT